CTGGAATGTAGTGGAGTATTAGATATATGCGAGTACATATTATAGAACTGTTTACAGTCCACTTCAGTTCCATTTAAAAAAAGGGTAGGCATCATCATTGTTAACATAGTTCAATAGGGAATGCTGAAAGGTCCTGGCTCTGTTGTACAATAACTACCGCTAATAAGAATGATGTTGGGGATATATATAAAAGTAATTGTATTGATAATGTTAATGACTGGAGGAGATTTATGATATTGCTGGTGATTGTGAAAGACTACAAGCAGAAGACATTGATATGTCATGTTAATATTGATAAAGGATGGGTTTGTAGGAGAGTTAAGGTGATAGTTTTGAGATCCCATTAATTTCAGTTTCAGCTATCCCTATTAACATAGTAGTTTGTATTCTGCTATTACTATTACTACAGGTACTAGCTACTATTTCCCATCTGCTATGTTTTCAGACGACTTGACTCATTGTGTTTTGCGAATCTCCTCCAAACGAATTCAGGTCAGCAATTAAGTAAATTTGGCAAAGCACTATAGTGTCAAGAATTAGAGCAGGGTGTGAAATAGACTGTGCTAAAGTACCATACAGATATGACTGGTCATTTCGAGGAAATCTTTGAAAAAGGGAAATACGACTGGTCAAGGCCCCTTGAAATGCATAGTATTGGTATGATGACAGGAATTACTATTGTAACTACAACTGCTATTTTTGCAACTATTACTACTATTACTAGTAATGCTGTTACTATCATAATCTCATCATAATATCAATTTATACTCTTTGAATCTTTGATACATATAAAAGTTATGATAGTATTTGTGTTACTAATACTAACAATCGTGACACTAGTAGTAATGATAGTAGTGATGCCTAATACTTACTTTGCTTATTCTTTTAAAGAAGATTTTTTATATAACTTAAAAGTCTTGTCTGTGAATATGGAAATAATTCTTAATTTTTTCCTTTTACTAAATTATTTTGGATTTGTTATGCAAAAACACTATAGATTTTGATTAGTACTAATGTGTATTGAAAGAAGATGAGATAGGAAAGTTATGGTATTTCATTTGATTTTTATTTGGGAGAAGAATGCCCCAGGATAGAGAGAATAAGACGGGATCATGCAAATGAATTGAAAAACCTGAATCAGACTTTCAAATCGTTATAGTGTGTTTTTGGACCAGTTATCATATTTATATATAATTTTCATTCTTATTCTTAATATTCTTTATATTTATGCAAGTGGTGATGACTATGCTTTCATGATGTGGTTGATAAAGGTATTGCCGCACAATTCAATTTTTTCCCCCCTTTGTTTGTTATTCTATTGCTAATGCATGATCTTGACAGAAAAAAGAGCTGTGCTTGTGTCTGTGGCTTGGGAACTTGTCTTGGCTAGTGGATACTGTTTGATACATGTTTCATATATGTTTTTTTGTTTGTTTTTGTATTTGATATGTATGTATGTATGTATGTATGTATGTATGTATGTATGTATGTATGTATGTATGCATGCATGCATGTATGCATGCATGCATGTATGCATGCATGCATGCATATATATATATATATATATATATATATATATATATATATATATATATATATATATAATTTATAATATGTATATGTGTGTGATTGTATGTATGTATGTATGTATATGTATATATGTATCTATATACTTATCTTTAT